AACATTGTACCTGAAAATAGTCAAGAATATCAAAACCTTAGAAATACTTTTGAGTGTGGATTTGCACTTTAACATCTTATATTTAAAATAAAAAAATGAAAATTAGGATTTATTTTTAGAGATGGGATAGTCTTATATTATAATACTCCATTTGTCTCAAATTATAAAAGACAACTTAGATAAAATTACACATGCCAACAAATCTCATTAATATTAGAGAGAGAAAATATAATGGAAAGAATAATATCACAAAAGCATTATTAATAAAAATTTATTTTTATCAAAATATTTTATATTGTAAATATCAAATATGTATTAAAAGTATTTTATAATTTGAAATAGGGGAAGTATTATATAGATATTTAGTTCCTCATTGCCACTCCATTTGGGCATGTCGCTTAATTATATTGGGCCTTTTATTTCGCTTGTTGCACCAGGCCCAATATGTGGGCTTAAGTGGGTTTCCATTACAATGCCACAAGTCCACCAGATAGTGATCTATTGGGCTTTAAGTTTTTGCTACTGTCATCCTGATTATAATTATCAGTACCTAAAATTGTGGTGCAAACATTAAACGAGAATATATATATATATATACATATAATATTTGACGGTATTAAATTATTATTCAGTTATGTTGAGCTACACACACCAGGAAGTTTTTTTTTTCTAAATGCAGTAGATAGTATTTTTTATTTCTGAAATCTTTAGTTTTTTCTTGCATTGGGGGAATGAGGAGCTGAGTCCAGGAAGAATTTCTCCAAAAAAGAAGAAGAAAAAGAAAAATTGCCTAAGTTTTACTGTTGTGCTCCCATGAGGAATATATAAAGAGAAACATTGTCTACATGTAATTCTCCCAAAATCTTCTTGGTGCGTCAAGAAAATTTGAATCCTGAATCTCTATCCATTAATTTATCATCATACCTTCAGATATTTGAGCCAATATCAGGTAGTTAAAATGACACGTGATTAAATTTGTGCGCCATTTAAGCTTATTTAGGCACTTGGGGAGGTTAAGCACCTAATTAAGGCATCAAATTCAAGCCACAACTTGATGAACCGAACCTTATCTACTTCATAAAAAAAGAGGACAAGTCAAGTGGGTATTTGAGTGTGTAGCTAATAAGTACGAAACCTCAAGCATTTGATGTAGACCCAATCAATTCATTCTTTAATTAATCTTCCTAATCAATCTTATTTGCTACCTAATCATCTTTGTTTTTGCCAATTGCAATTCCACTTGAAGCCTAACTACCCCTATTGATGTCTAACAGGATAAGAATTTATGCCTAATATTTGCATAACAAATAAATATCCAGTATTTATCTAACATGTAATGAAGAGGTGTAAAAATAAGTTGATTAACAAAATTATTATTATTATTATTATTTTTTGATAGAGAAAACTGAAAGGAACGCTCTCAGACTTGCGCTTGGAACATAATGATTTGAAGTTTTTTCTTTTGAAACTCCGACAATTATGTTTAACTAAAATAAAAAAGTATGTGACTAAAACTGCAAGGAGTACAAGCAAACATTTGTTAACAAGCTTATTCTGTGTATATATAATTATATATATTTACAATCAATGTAGTATCAAATTTTATTCGTGTTCAGCCCGAAAACATTTTATTCGTGTTATTTTGCTTTGGGCAGTTTTTAAATAGCTTTTCATGAGAGAGTTTTTTAAATAGTAGGCTTATGCGATGTGGGAAATGTGAGAACGTGTTCGCGAGCGGGAACACGCCTAATGAAAACGCGTTAACAGTAGCGAGTCGCATTCACGCTTCACAGAAACGTGGGTTGACTCCAATGCTATTATTTATTATTATAATAACAAACCCACGTTTAAGAATTTGGTGAAAGCAGAAGCAATTGTAGCTTCTAATGTATTCTTTTTAATTAAATCTTAATTCGCATACAACTTGATATTATAGGGAAAAAATGTATCGAGAGAGAGATCTAAAAATGCATTAATTAATCGTATCAAAAAGGGTACATTTTATGTATTAAAATAAATTATAAAATACCTCAAGTATAAAAGAAAATGAGTGAGAGATATACAATGGGAAAAGAGAAAAAGTGAAAGGTGATTCGCTTAAAAGAGAAAACAAGGGGAAAAAATAGTTAATTTCATATATTATTTTGAAGAAAATATTTATGTGTAATAAAACTTATTATTCTATCATATTATTTATATGACTTGCAAGGTACATCACTGACTGGAATTGAAATGTGATTTTTAATATTACTATCAATTTATAAATTATTTTATCCACCTTTATTTTTTTATTTTTAAAATTATTTTTGAACATTGATGCCAGAGATTTTAACATAATTTTAAAATTTAAAATATATAGCATTACATTAATAAGCAATACATATGTGTCCAAGAAATGATATGGTAGGAAAATGCAGAAAAAAAAATCATAGATAAATATAGAAGGAGTGTTTTCTTTCTAAACTATTCTCAGTTTTGGAAAAAAAAATTGGGGAGGGGGGTTGGGTTTCATATACTCCTTAGGTTTAAAATATGCATTTTTAATTTTTTTAAAATATAATTATTATCTTTTTTAAATATTATTATGAATAAATTACTTTATAGTTATTTTAAGATAAAATATTTATTAAATAGGGGTATATATAAAATAATAAAGTTAACATGAAAATAAATAACTATTTTATTAAAGATAAGATTTTATTAAAAATACTTTACATTTTTAAATGAAAGGAATAATATTTTCACTTTGTTTTCTCTTTTTTCTTTATTTAGAGAAGGAAAATGCACTTTTTATTTTTCTCTTGCTTCTACTTTCTGGTCCGAATCTTATGGTAATTAAGGGGAGAGGGGTCTCTCCCTTTTCCTCCTCCATTTCTTTAATCCCTACCATTCAAATTATTTTATTAAATAATTTTTTAATTATAAATTTATAAATGGTAGGAATTAGAATAGTAGAGGAAAATAGAGGGAGAAAAAATGGAGAGGCTCCCTCCTCATAATTAAGAAGGGTTGTATATGTCATAACATGTTTAAACTTATACTTGAATTATGGATTTTAAATTTAAATTAAAAGATGTTAAGAGAAATAAGGAAGAATTACAATTAAATTTAAAAAATTAATTACTACAAAGTTCATTGATAATTGAACTATTAATTTAACTCAGTTATCAATAGACCTTGCAATAATTATTTTTTATATGAGACTTTAATGTAATTCCCTTAAAAAACAACTAGTATACAATTTATAACATTTCACCCAAAAAAAATGATAATAGACTGCACTATTTGTAAGACTAAAACGAGATTGATACTGTGTCAAAAAAAATGAGATTGATATTTGACGTGATTTTTTTCCTTATGAAAAATTTTCCAAAACGTTATTGTAATTTTTTGTTAAAGCTGCTTCTTGTAAAACTTACAATAATTGAAAATAATTGAAAATAATTGCATTCTTTCAACTCAAAATTTCAAACCTTTTAAAATTCAAGTGCATGATATTGGTCTAAAAAAAAAAAATCAACTGCATGACGCAATTTTCCCAAACTTCGACTCGTCGTACAGTGAATCTACCAAATAATTTTAATACAATATAAACTAAATTACATTTATACAAATATATTAGCGGTCGATACGTGAAAAAGGAGTAATCAAGAGAGAGGTTGAAATTAATTAGTAGGGTTGGATAATCTAATAATATACGAGTCTAATGCTAGTAAAAATATTTAAATTTTTATTAAAAATATGCATATATTTAATGCTCCGTTGTGCTTTTGATCTGATTTCTCATAATAAAAGAAGACTTGTAATAAAAGAAAAATGAGTGTGGTTGGATAGATAATTAGCATACTCCAACTCTCCAAGGCGAAGAGAATACGTATGGAATACAGAGTGTGTCAAAAGCCACGCAAATAATAAAAATATCATCTCGTATTTGATATTATCATCCCTACATTTGCTTTCAACCTCTGAACCACATGGCCAGATTTCTGGTCCAACCCACCTTACCCCCTTAGCCTAACTCTCTGGGCATATTCCCCCCACTTATCCCATACGTTTTATTTTTTGTTTTCAATTATTTCTTGAATTAGCATTTATAGCCTCGAATGGTAAAATCGTCACTGTAAAGGGGGAAAAAAGGAGACATCTATAGTTAGATTCATGTATGGATCTCATTGTTGTTTCTCAACTTGTCAAGACTCAGACTTCAATGGGGACAGGTCATTTAAGCAGTGTATAAATGGAATAAAATGACTAGTGTGTATATATATATATATATATACCAATAATAATATACAATCATGCCATCGCCTTCTGTTTCTGCGTTGTTCACACGGACCTGCATTATTATTACTTTTTCTTTTATTTTCTTTTCTTATTTTCTAAAAAAAATATAGTAAATTTCTAAAAGATCAAATTAACAATAGTTATATTTTAGATAATTTTCTTAAAATATCAGTTGCAAACTGAATATTATATATTTCAAACTTAAATATCTTATTTATAATTACAAATTATAAATCCATATTTGTAATTAATTATTAGGAAGTTTTATAAAAGATTTAACTATCATTAATTTTTTTCTTTTAGACTTAATTATCATTCTCCCATCTTTAAAAAAAGTCAAGCATCCAGCTTGACTTCTTCCAAAATTCACTTTCAATTATTAGTTGTGCTTCAGTGTCACACGGCATTCTGAAGGTTTGGGGAGACTTGTTCCTTGCACATATGTGTGTACAATTAGTTGTTAAAATCTAATAAAAATAGCTTCATGTCCAGAACTCTATAGTACCTCCACATTTTAATTGGATCACTTTAATTTATTGGAGAATTATTTTGTGCTAGATTTGATTATTCCAAGTTATAAAACCTAATAGATTTATTCAATATTTTCAAATATATACAAGGCAAGCGAAGTTAAAAGACAGGAGGATCACGTTGTATTATTCAAAAGTGTACTTACTCGATATTTTTTCATGAATCACTATCACGATGACAAAGGCTGGCCATGAACTAAATGGATATATACAAATGGTGAGAATAAATTATAATTATAGAGGACTAGCTTCCAAACACAATAATGAACCAATGTGTCTGTCTGTACAGAGGAACAATGCAAAAAAAACAAAATCTCGAACTTGGAAAGTTAATCCGATTTCCGCATAACCCCAAAATCAAGAAGAAGAAAAAAAAAAGAACAACGAGATATGATCAAATTCTTGAATCTATCTGATTCAATACTCTAATTACAAGAATTCCGATCAATTTTTGATGAAGAAGCTGCTTGATCATTATCGATCATCTTCATTCTTCAATCCATGAAGAAACGAGGCTTCTTGGCAGCCGCCGGCAACGGGCTCTCCACCTCTTCTTCTCCAATCTTCACACTCTTCCCGGCGGCGCCGAAGATCCCTGCCAGGGAGATGTCCGTCAAAGGAGCAGGGAGGTTCAGGTCAAATCCACGGTGGCTGTGGGTGACTGATGAGGTGTTCCCCTCAGACGACGTGATCACCGTCGTTCCACCGGGACCGCTGTTGTTGGCGTTGCCACCGTCATAGTGGCAGCGCTTGTGGCCGCCGAGGGCTTGACCTGTCGGGAAGGCCTTGTGACAGATGGAACACTCATGCAACTTCCCACTGCCGCCCACAGTGGCGGTGGCGGTGATCGAGGCGGTGGAGATGGAGGCGGAGGAATTGTCGGCGTTAGGGTGATGATCGGAGGAGGAGGACTTGCGGTGGCTGGCCTTGTGTCCTCCGAGCGCCTGGTACGACGGGAAGGACTTGTTACAAACAGAGCACTTATGAGAAAGCTTCATTGGAGGAGGAGAAGAGGAAGGAACAGGGGGGGAAGACGACTTCGTATTGGCGGTGTTATCGTTGTTGTTGTTGCCGCCACTGTGAGCGAGCATGAGGAGGCAGATAGCGAGGTACTCTTCCTCAGCGGAAGGCTGATTCTGATCAAAACGGTGACGTTTAGATCGCTTTCCCTTAGTCCAAGCCTCGAGCGAGTGAAGATCATCTTCACTGAACATTGAATTGGGAGTACTAGTAGGAGAATTCAGAGCCTCCAAAGCCATTTTAGAGAGAGAGAGAATGAGATAGAAGATATCCTGGGGGATGATGAGTGGAAAATGAAGAGGAGGCTTCTATATATATATATAGGGGAAAGAAAAGACCGGGAAAGGTGGGAGAGTGAAGTGGGTCAACTAAGCTTGGCTTGCTTGTTAGGTAATGTGAGGGAAAGAGAAGAGGGAAATACAAAATAGGGCATAAATTGAATGACTGATTCCAAGTCAAAACAGCGGGATGACATACGTATGCGCTTATGGAATTGGGAATTCGATGCACCTGTGGGCTGCTTCTTTCCCTTCTTCCCACTGTGTTTCTTTTCTTTCTTTACTTTTTTTTATTTGTGTGTGTTCCACATTTATGCTGTTTTTTTTTTTTATAGTGTTGGGATTTTTTGGGTTTCTTTCCTTTAATTCCAGATAAGTCTTCCAGCTCAGTAAAAATTCCCCTCCGTCCACATCCATCATTGTTCCACATATTGTACCAGATTTGAGTTTCCACTTTTTTAATGCAATTATTTTAATAAAAGGGGGGGGGGGGAGATACACCCAAAACACTCAACGTACAAGGAAAGCTTGAAAAGTTCCTTTTGATAAGGCTAGGGCTAACTAGGAGACGTGTCAATGTTGACCAGATCCAAATTACCATATCAAACTCGTAAATATGATATCAGCCATTTAGATCTCAACCAAATCTTGTAGTTTGATACAGATACTTTGCATGAATGTATTTTTTTGGGGACCAAAATTAGTACTTAAGAAAACTAATACTGGATTGAGTCGATTTCAAACTGAGCGAACCGGCCGGTCCAGCAGTCTGATTCTCAAGTCCTCCACTATGCTTTCTTACTTTTTTCCCTTCATCCTTAGCTTCTTTTGATGTCACAACGCCACCTGGTACCCTGTGTGGCCAGCTCATATGAGCTGCCTTCACTGTCCCGAAAGAGGCAAATCGTATCTACATACACCTGCTCTGTTCCACACTTCCACCTTCTAAAAATGTTGGTGTGCTTCGTGGCTGCCCCACAACCTCTATTTAACACTGCATTGCGTCTCAGGATAAGTGAACGCTTCCCAAAGTATCTTAATTTTTTTATTTTTTTAAAATGAAATTCTCAAGAATAAACAAATAAAAAAAACGAGTTAAATGATGGGGGGAGTGAGGGAGTGGAGTGAGTGAAGTAAAGTGAGGTGGAGGCGGCTTAGTTAGTGGCGGTTGGCAGCATGGCCGACGTAGTATTATTTTATTTCGCTTTTTTAAAAAATGGGGAAAAAAAGGAGGGGTCAAGATACGGCACGCAAGAAGGAGATTGACTTTGTTGATTGGGGACACGTGGACGATAGAGATTGTGGGAGAGTTCCAGAGGATGGGGGATGAGGGGGGAGGTGGACATGTGGGGAGAGGAGGAGGTGACACGTAGAAAGCTGCAGTTGGTGGAGAGAGCCACGTACGAAGCCCCCCGAGTGGGGAATTCTAGTGGCTCTTGCTTACACTGCCCGTGCCGCTCAGCCCCTTTCTTCGTAGTGCGTAGACGTCGGGCAACCTTCGAGACCCGTCCACGATTCTTCTATCTTTGCCTTCTCTTAGTATTTTTTTTTTTAAAAACACTTTTCAATTAAAATGAGAAGAACGCATGGTACGCGGAACTAATCAACATTAACGTGAATAGTAACTATTCTCATTATTTAAATAAATGGCTGGGTGTTCAAATCACTATATATATATATATATATATCAAAATGTCTAGTAATTGCTTTCAATATCTCGAAGAACAAACCATGTGAGTGTGGCGTAGTAGTTATCTCACTTCGTCCATTAAGTACGTGGTGGGGGTTCGATTCCTCACTCATATAAATGAAAAGCACTCTATGACTAGTCGTTTGTCTCTTTATGGGAGACCTCGCGGTGAAAGGATTAATCACTGCTAACAACGGTGGATACTTTGAGCATTCAAAAAAAAAAAATCTTGAAGAACATAAGTATTTTCTGCTGTGCGTGAAAGTTGAAACTGCTCCTTGCGTAGGCAGATGAGAGTGGAGTCAAGACAGTGAATGTGGTTGTGCAGGTGCGTTGTGGTAATTCATTGAATTCAAATTTCAATTACTAGCTGGTCCTCGACAAGCGATAAAACTAAAATCAACTAGGCCCCACAATCACGCATTAAATTGTAATTCAACACTTTTATAGGTGAAATTTCATGTCATGACATTCATATTTGGCATATTGAATTTGTGGGCTAAAGTCAAATAATCCAAAACAAAATATAATTTCACCTGCTTTTTTAAAATCGATATTTATTTTTATTTTTAAATTTTAGTTATGGCAGCTTTCTAGTGAGAGCGGATGGGGGTGGGGGGATGAATGTTGGGGTGGGAATCGAAAGAGCATGAAAGCAAGAGGATGTGTAGGCGTGTGTAACAAAATAAGAAATTTGATCAAGAGCGGACTAAAATGATCCCAACCAATCAAGAAGGTATCAGAATCTTCAGTATAAATAATGCAATAAATATTTAAATTATTTTAAGCATAAAACATTTACCTCAGTTTTAATTAAAATTACACTTACCCTCAGTTTTAATTAAAATTACACTTACCGCCTTGTAAAATTAAAATTGCTCCCCATAAAAAATTAATTCCCCCCCCACTGTCTTTAAAGTTATCAAGCATATATATTTAAAAATATTATTTTCCTTATATTTATTATAGAAATAAATTTATGATGCAAATGATATTAATATATATTTTTAAACTTACCATATAATTTATTAATATATTATTTTAATTAATATTTATAATTATATTTTCTTCAAAAATATTGATATTTATATTTAGTATAAATTTTCCCCTCTTAATAATTTTTTATGGGTTTGTCATTTATTCTAAAGATATTTTTCTCCTATACATTCTAGAATTTTTCTTATAAATATCCAGAATAGTTAGCTAGTTAGATTATTCTAAAAAAAATCATTATGGACTGATGGATTGGATTCATCTCTATCGTCTCTTAAGGAGGTGAAAAAGTTCTAGAAGATGTGATAGGTCTATAAATATCCCTTCACCCTCCATTTGTAATCATCAAGTAAAACAATAAAACTCTCAAGTTCTGTCACACAAACTCTCTCTACTCTCTTATGTTCTAAGTGTTTTAACTTCTTTGCCCATAGTCTAAAGGATTGGTTAATTTAATTAAAATCAAAAGATTGATTAAGTTAAAGTTGGCACAATTCTAGGGAAAGAGATTTTAAGGCTATGACAAAATGATATCAAAGTTGAGTCCAATTTTTGCCCATTCAGAAGGCCATCCAATGAGCTACCTGTAATATAGGCGTTATGGATTGGTCAGGAGAATTGATATGTCTGACATTAAAAGAATTTTGGAAAGGTTTTAATCATATAAGCTAGTGTGTTATACGTTTCACTAGATTAGTTTTTTGGAGAAAGTAATTACATTGTCACACGTGGCTTCCAATTTTCTCTCTGTCCTAAGCAAAATCACATTCCATGCTTTGTGCAAGACACGGAAAACCAAATCATGTGAATAAAACACATGGTTAAAATCGGTTAAATACAATGAATATGATAGCTAGCAAAAAGAATCGTTCTTCAAAAATACTCTTATTTATATATGATTTATGATGAATAGTATCTTCTGTTAATTGATGTAATTAATAGTTTAACACACAATCAATTCACGAGGATAAAATCCAAAAATGCTAATGAATATTTCAAACAAGTTCTTGTAAACAGGATTAAGAGCCTGTTTATTTATTTATTTTTCTTGACAAAACGACTTTTTTTAAAAAAAATCTATTTTGTTAAATTATGTGATATTTGTTTAAAATTTAAAAAATTAATTAGAATATAAAAACAGATTTTTGATTTTTTTTAAAAAATATTCTTGTGTTAAATAAAAGTGAAAGTCATAAAAATAAAGAGATATACAAATATATTGTAAAATTTTAAGATAATTAAATAATAAATTATTTCTATGAACATAGATTTACAAATATTTCATAAAATATAACAAATAATCTATAATAATAACTTTTTATTGTTATGATCAAACCTAAAATAGTTTCAAATGTTTTTCTAAAATCTCTAAAAAAATAAATGTATTATTATAAAATTTTGAAATTATTTATTTTAAAATTTTAAACAAACAGGGTCTTGACATAACCTTTCTAAATATCTCTAATGAAAAAGCCAAAAAGGATAGAAGGGAGAAAACGCCAGCTATTTTAGAGAGATCACATTCTTTAAAAATCTTGAAAGCGCACCCATAAAAACAAGTGGCGTCAAAGTTTGGCATATGGGAGGTTAACAAATACGGCCTTACAAGTAACTGAACAACATGAAGGCATTAGATTCTGATTGTCAAGTTTCAAAACTTATCCACCTTAGTATAAAAGAAAATAAAAATAACAATAATCTATGATAAAGAGGATTGAGAGGAAGTATATGATAATTGATTATTGCGTACAAGTACTTTTAAAGATAGATCAACTGTGAATACATGATGAACCCATGAAGTCATGCCTCACATATTCATCTCCTTCATTTGTTCTTCCTATTTTTATTTATTTTTTAAAACGTGGACCCCTCTGCCTTTCCCGTTTTTTTGTTTTTTTTGGGTTTCAATTTTCCATGAGAAATATAGTTTCTTGCATGGTTGTGATTGGTGAATATCAAAAATTCTATCTTCGATGCACATGAATAATAATAATATCTTTACTTAGTATAGCCTCTAAACCAAGCCCTTAATCATGTTTAACTGCCCAATTTCCATATAAAATCTTAGCTTGGCTCGAAGAGTTTGGAGATTTCGGTTTTCTAAAAATCCAATTTGGCCTAATCCAGCGTTTTGGTATGAGATTAGGATAAGATTTGACAAAATTTATGGTTCACATATATTGCACGTGCCACTTACCATAAAAAAAAGTTAATTGAATGATATTATAAAATACCCATTTCTTAAAAGTTAAAGGGATAAAAATATTCACAAAGTAGTCAACCATAGACATTCAGTATCCTAAAGTGACGAAAAGGATAAAAATATTCATAA